CCTACTCACAATCGTTCTCAATAATAAATACCGTAAAAATGTATGTAATGTTGAACAATAATGCGGTTAAAGGAAAGTAAAGATAAGTCATTTGAAATGCACTTACAAGAGGGGCCTTTGTTAGGTAGCTAAGGATAGTGGCCACAGGGTGGAAAGAATGAAATTTGCCCTGAAAATGATATGAATCCACCAAGAACACATGAAAATCAGTAATTATCATAGAAGAAAAGGTGAAGGACTTGGGGTGTATTCCTTTGGAATTTTAGGAAATATTTTAAGACCTCTTGAGATTTGAGACTTTTTAAAGTATTGAGATTTAAGAGAAATTCTTATAAGGTGAGATTTGGAGTGAAATTTCGTATAAGGTTTGTTTATGAAATGACAACAGATCTTAAAAATCTCGGTATAAATTTCATGTGTCAAATAAGTTAAATATCTCATGATTTGTTAAGACTTTTTTAAAATTTCAAATGAATACCTCAGGAGATTTAAAAGTTTTAATAAGTCCAAATTAAATACACCAAGATTCTCAAAGTTCAAGCAAATCTCTAAGGATCCCAAATGAATACACACCGCTTAAACTGTACGTTAAACATAAATAAAATCTTAAAAAAAAAAAAAGAACGACAAACCTCTCCTTCAGCCTTGAGCTGAATACGGGTGCTAAGTTCGGCAAGTAGCACCAAATCGAGAATAATCGGTGCAGCCAAAAGAGAGTCCTCACAAGTGTTGTGCAACACAATCGTGCTTTTTCCGCCCATGAATATCTCTGATGTGTACTCATCCATCGCTCTCTTGCTATCTCCAACGTACGGAACATACTAAATCACCATCCAAAAACAAAAGTTCACTTTTTCCTTTTACCAACAGTAATAATGGCGAAAAAAATACGGCCGTAATTTAAATTTACCTTTATGACGACAACATGGTCAGGGTGCTCTCCCGGTTCATAAAGAATGCCGTTACTTGCAACCATATCATCAACTACATTGCTCTTTGAGATCTCCTTTGATCTAAATGTTTGTGGAGCCGATAGATTCATACCGTCGTTATTTCCAAGATGATTGTAGCTCACTATAGATGTCGGCTATCAAGTTACGCCAAATCAAATTAATTTTATTAGTATATATTTTCATCAAGTTAAATATACTAACCATATTAGTTATACCTTAATGCCAGCTCCAACAAGAAAATCGACCAGCACGGATTTCATCTTGGTTTGACCGCTCTTGAAATCGTCTCCACCAATGAGACTATTCCTCTGGATGGCCAACTCAATCAACCCTAAACCAAATTTTTGTGATGAAAAAACAATTTTAAAAAATTCAAGATTTTGGGCGTGAAGAGTTAGTTCAACTTTTGCAGTTCTTTACCTGGAACAAAAGTGTTCTGTGGGCTGCCATTTATGAAAGGCACATTTTCAAGAACACAGGCTATAGCAAACAGAGTCGAAGGAGAGATCTCGGCCTCGCTTTTCTCGACCGAAGACATTAGGTTTTCCATCGAGTCGTTTAGCCCTACAACAACATTGCTGTATCTCTCTGTGTTGGCTGTCCACAACACCACAACCTTGTCCACTTTGTTTTGCTTCTTAAACTCCCTTTTTTCCATTAGCCAACAAAATGACAAAGATTAACCAAAAGATCTACATTGAGAATCATTTTACTGGAAAAATTTAAACTCCCAATAGAATTTTCCAAGAATACACACTATATTACTTACTTCCACAACTTTTGATATTCAGTTACTGATTTACTGCTTCTAAACAAGTCAAGATTCCATTATTTTTTTAATCCCTTTCAATTCTTTTTACATAATACAAACAAATGATACTAAGTTGTTAATGTTGTTATTGTTGAAGTACCTGATGTCCTTGATGACTTGTTCGACTTGTTCCTTCTTGGTGCCTTTGATGACATTGTTGGCCCGCGAGCCTTGATTGGCCGCAATGAAATCTGGGTCGTAAATTCCGGGAAGTGGGACCATGTGCTCCATATAGGGCCTCAGTTGCTTCTGAAGATCGATGTCCAAAACCTTGGCCCGGCCCATTGCATCAGCTAAGTTCATGTTGCTGATGTCCCATCCCCCAAATACAATGTCATCTGGATTAACCTGCAATAGATATTATATCCACAAATTATGGGCAAAATCATTTGAAAAAAAATGATACCTTTCCACAAGAAAATCTTCAAAACTAGCAGTCTCATCATAAAACACTCCAGTCGTTTGCATTCTGAATAGACAACTACATTATATGAAAGAGTATACATACAAATACATATAGAAAGAGATATACAGTACCATAGGGAGCAAGCTTTTGAATGGCGCATAGATTTCTTCACCATTAAAGGACCCAACTCTAATGGAGGATGCCTGAGTCAATGACCCAAAGTAATTGGCTTGCTGCACTTTGTCCTTTGTTGCCCATGAAATCCCTCTGCAAAATCCCACATCAAAAATTTCAAAAAATCTCAATTCTTTCTTCACAGTTCTCTGCTTATAGCCAAAAGAAAAACCATAAAAATGGGACCTCTATGTCATCCCTCTAATTTTTCCTTTTGAGAAAAAAAGAAAAAACCCACAAAAAGCACATTTTCTTTGCATAAAATTGAAGTATCGGCAAAATTTAGGTATGAATTTTTTTTATTAAAAAATTGGATTAATTAACAACTCACTCCCTGTTTGCAACCACACCAGCAGTAAGGGTTGTGCCATTGTTACCTCCCCAGCCGACAAGCATAACCCTACAAATCATAACAATGAAAACCGATCAAAGAAAACAATTTTAAAATTTGGAAAAAAACAAAAGCCCAAGAATTTAACAGATATAATTATGTCTACCCTAATTTAGGGACATGGGTCTCTGTTTTGAACTCGTATTGAACAATCTTGGGCTTCACAATCCACTGGTAGGCGCCATTTCTGTTCTCATGGACGAGCTCCGTAGTTTCATAGCTGTAGACCGAGTGAATCTCACTCTCTGTGTACCTAACGTTAGGGCTTTCGACCTTAAAGCTCTCGATAAACATCTTCCTAGATTCAAA